TATATATATATAGATAGATATATATAGAGATATATCGATATATAGATATATATATGGATATATAGATAGATATATAGATATATAGATATGTATATATATATATATAGATGGATATATACAAGACTGCGGTGGCGCTTCGCGCCATGTGCCTTGGTCCTTGAAGTTTGGTATGCAGGCGAAATAGCAGGACAATCAAACCGACAATCTGGCGATAACTCCTTGTTGCCTTTTCCGGCATCGCCGCTATAATAATGTTATTCGTTATCCTTCCTTCATGCTGAGTTTTCCTCATTTTCGTCATACTCTGCGCATTCTCCCCATCCTCCTCAGCTCTTTTTTGCGGAGGCTCCTCCTTGGAGAGCCTCTGGGGGCCTGACAGAAGTTGTTTAAGGCTTTCTTGAGGCTTTCTGGAGGCCCCCTGGGCGTATTCTGGGGGCCTCTGGGGGCTTCCTCGGTCCACCCTGCCTCTAACCGCGGTCTTCCTGAACGACCGGGTCACGATTTGGAATGCTTCGGAGGGTGTCTTGGGGCCATCTTGGGCCGCCATGGGGCTCTCTGAGGGCCATCTTGGACCTGTGTTGTGCCGTTTTGGGGCTCTCTTGGACTGCCTGGAAGCCCTTTCGGATGGTTGTGGATCGATTTTGGAGCCTCCCAGGCGGCTTCGGACGCCCAGAAGACCGCCATCTTGGAGCGCCGGGAAGCCGAAAAGAGGAGAACCCCCAAATTCACCAAAAACCAACAGAAAACCAATGATTTTTGCCTCTTGGGGCCCTCTCGGGAGTGCTCTTGGAGGCCTCTTTGGGGCCGTCCTGGAGGCCTCTTGGGCCATCTTGAGGTCACGTCGGTCACTCTTGGAGCGCTCTTGTGCTGTCTTGGGGTTCTCTGGGACGTCACCGATGATCCCCCTGATCGCCCTAGGTGTGCTGGGAAGGCTTGGCAAAACGCCTTGCGAGGCCCGGGGGGCCTCTTCGAGGCCCGTCCAGAGGGTCCCAAAGCCTCAGATCCCGGGAGTCCAATTTTTTTGGGGGGGAGGGGGTTTTCCCCCGCCCGGGCTTGTAAAAATATAGGAAGAGGAATATATGTATACATATATGTATATATATATATACAAGACTGCATTGGCGCTTCGCGCCATGAACCGTGGTCCCTGAGGCTTTGCATATGCTGGTCGTTCGCGCCATCCCTAGTGGCCGTGGGAACTTGGTCCCTCCCCTGCGGTGGTTTTCAGAAGTCTTCGAAAATTCGGGCGGTCCCTGGCCCTTCCCGGGCGCTCCCGAAAGGCGCTGGAGGGCGAAGGATAGGAGGTAGGGAATCTCGGAGAGCGAGGAAAGGAAGCGGATGTGGGGGAGGGCGAGTGGTGGAGCGGCAGGAAGAAGAGGAGGGCGCCGTCGGGGGACGGCGAAGAATGTTGCAGCGCGTTGCAGCGGATCGCAACGGGGCACGCGAACGCAAGTAATTCTCAGGTAATGTACCCAATCCCGGGTTCGCAAAAGATTTCCGGGATTTGTGGTTGCGAATTCGGGTCAGTTTGGTGGAAAACGCCGTGTGGGCCCTGTTGGAGCCCTGGTGGGCCGGCCGGCTTGGGGCCGTCTCGAGCCGTCTTGGGACCATGTTGGGCCGTGCTGGGGAGCTTGGGCCCTCTAGGGACCTTACGGGGGCTACGCAGGCCCTCCTGTTGGCCTCCCATGGCCTTTGGGGGGGCCTCCCATGGCCTTCTTGGGCTTCTCTTGGGGGCATTGTGAAGGCCTGTTGGGCATCTTTTTTGCTCATTTGGGGGTTCCTTGGGCAGTCTTGGGGCCGTCCAGGCCGTCTAGAGGGGGTCTCTTGGGCCGTCTTGGGGCGATACTGCAGGCCTTCTTGGCTGTTTTGGGCGCTGCTAAGACCCGAACAGCGAATGTGCTGAAAAGGCACGTTTCCCAAAGGTAATGAAGCGACGTCTGCGTTCTGGGAGCTCTGCTGAGGGCCTCCTGGGCCCTCTTGGGGGCCCTCTGGGTCCTTCTTGGGGCGCTCTGGTGTTGTCTTGTGTGTTTTTTTCGGCCTCTCCGATCACCGCCCCCTGGAGGCCTGAGAAAAGCCGAAGGCCCTCGAGAACCTGATCGATGCACCGATTTCTCCTCTATGCGGCCCCCTGCCTGAGCCGTCTGTTGACGGTCACCGGGCCCAGTGAGGGTCCCCCGACGAAAAACGACACAACACAAAGCATGGGTTGCTCCAACACGGTGGAGGCCCAGGGAACAAACAGGGAGGCCCGAAACCGCCCGAAGAGGTACTCGAGCCTCACGCGCCCGGCTTCCACGGCCCCAGGCGCTCTGGGAAGGCGAGCGCGAGCTCCATCGCGAACTCCACGCCCACGAATCCCCCGCCGACCACGGCGACGTGGGCCTTGGTCTCCGCCAGCCTCTGCGCGTGCCGGGGGGGAGGGGGAGGGGGAGAGGGGGGGAGGGAATAACTTAGGATGGGGAGGAGGACGACGAGGGGACGGAGGATGAGGTCCATTCCCCCTCCTCTCTCCCCGATGCCTTTCGTCGTCCTCGCTGCATCTCCTCATTCCCTCCCTCCTTCCCATCCACTTTCTGTGTTCCCATGGGGACGTGTGTCCCGTTGGAGCTGTCTTCATCCCCCGAAGCTTGGCTGCCAGCATATCTGTGTACCGATGCGTCTTTCTGTGTCCACAATGTATGGGTTCAAACCAAAAAACACTGACAACGGATCCGTATAATGTTTCGTGAATCAAGTGGTGTTCCGCTTGGGTGGAATTTGAGTTTTGAAGTCTTTGCATAAATGTTGAATTTGCTATCACCGCCATCATGTGTGGATACGTCATCATTTGCACATGAGTGTTCTCCACGTGGGCCCCAAACCATGGACAAAAGCAGGATAAGCTATGCAAGCCGACGCAAACTAGTGCAAGGGAATGCGCAGCAAGGCAAAACAACGCAAATCAGTGCAACACGACGCGCATGACGGCAAGAATCGGCTCCAATGGCTGGCCGGAGCCGCCACATTGCCAAGATGTCCTGGTTGAAACCCATATTCCGCAGCCTGGCACCGCGGCAGCGGCAACGCCATGCAGCTGCTCGCGCGCGGTGGGCGCCCGTGATCTGGCTTGGCAGAAGCCTGACCTGCTTCCACGCGGCAGAGCGCAACCTTCGCAACAATACGCTGCACCGACACTGCAGCAATGCCTGGCACCCCGTGCGTGGAACCACACGTGCGGAGGTTCCCGCGGCGTGCGTGTGCGTGTGCGTGTGCGTGTGCGTGCGTGCGTGCGTGCGTGTGTTCGTGTGTGTGCGTGTGTTGTGTGTGAGTGTGTGTGCGGGTGTGTATGTGTTGTACATCAGGAAAAACTGAACGAAATTTAGAACCTGGAAGAACGTGAACATGGAGGGGATGAGGAAGAACAAATAGCCACAAGAGAATTTCCGGACAGAGTGGCACGAAAGTTCTAGGCCCAGTTCAAAACCTTGCGGTCCTCTGCCATCGCTTCAGGGTGGAGGTCAAAACCTCCACGTGGACAAAAAATGGACAAACATGTGTGTGTGTGTGTGTGTTCTCTCCCCTTCCCCTCTCTCCACTTGCGCCTCCACTGTGCCCCCTCTGTCCCCGCACGGCTGCCCCCCCCTCGCGAATGCCGCCTGCCGCTCCCCTATGGGTGTATCCAGCGTCTCCCCGCCACGTGAGCCGGGCCGGTGCGCGCGCTTCTCCGACCCTTTCGACGCCGCGCCGCCGCGCGCGTGGCCGCGACGCTATAGATGTATACACGTTTACGTATATCCACATGGACATACATTCGTATGTATGTATACACATCTGCGTGTACGTGCGTGCGTGTGTGTGTGTGTGTGTGTGTCCGTGCGTGTGTAGAAGCCCGTGCGTGTATGGAGCGCCACGTGCCCAGTGCCCCGTGTGCAATTTCTGCACTATTGGTGCAGCATGGCGTAGCGTAGCACGGCATGGCATAGCATAGCACGGCGTCGCATCGCATAGCATTGGAGGCCGTTCGAGGGATTGGTCCTCCTGCAGAGGCTCCCACAGAAAGCCACCAGGACACAGAGCAATTGCCTTCGCTCGACCTCCAGCGACTAGAGACGCCAAGCTTCTAGAAGCTTACACTTCAGTCTAGCAAGCTTAGCTCTCTAACTTCAGCTGAGACACAATCGCTACGTATGATATTGTGGCGGCTTGCGCTGGCTAGCGGGCTGGAGAGAGGATACGTTTTGCGCTTCCGAGGCAGACGACTCGGGGTACGGAGACGACGACGGGACAAGATGAGACGACACGGACGTGGGGGGTCGGCTATACAGAGTACTGGGATGATGCGCAGATTGATAACGGGTTTCGAGGCAAACGACGGGGTTCTCGAGACGACGCGGGAAGGGAGGAGGAGGAGGAACAGGAGGAGCAGGAGGAGGAAGAGCATGAGGAAGTGGAAGAGGCGGCAACATCGAATCTGCTTTCAGAGTTGTTTGCGTGTGGGGGCATCCGGGGTGCGCCAGAAACCTCCGGAAGACCTTCGGAGGGAGGAGGAGGCGGAGGCAAGATGGGGGGGACCCTGGCCTTAGGTCGTGCATGCTTCCCTACAGGCCAATCTTCGACGAAGAATGAAGCGTATCAAAAATATATTCAAGCATGATCAACGAATACTCGCAAAAATCGTCCCCAGAGTAATTTTTGATTCATTTGGAGTATTCCTCCTGTGCAGGGACACGCCCGACCTAACTCTGGGCTCTGCTCGCCCTCTGTGGGCCCCCCTCCCCCAGGGCCCCCTCGTGACCGCGGCTGCAGGCAGCTCGACGGACTGCTTCCCGTCCTCCCCCCCCCTTGCCTTCTTGATTCGTTCACACCTCCTTAGTTTCCTCCTCCTCCTCCTCCTCCTCCTCCTCCTCCTATTCTCCCTCCTCCTCCTCCTCCTCCTCCTCCTCCTCCTCCTCCTCTTGCCCCTCCTCTTCCTGCCCCTCCTCCTCCTCCTGGCTGGGAGGGCCCCTCGGGTGGGGGCTCCAGGGGCCGGCCTGGAGCGGCTTCTGCCGGGGCAGGCCGAGGGCTGGGCGAGGAGGGCGGCCAACGAAGAAGACCCCCCCCCCTCTGCGAAGGCGTGGGGCGCATGGGCTCTGAGGGGCCGACCTCCTCTGAGAAGACGCAGCCAGGACGAGGACAGCATCGGGTGAGGATGCATCGAGAACCTCTGAGATCTGGCGGCTCTGGAGGCTGTCTCGGGCGCCGCGGCCTTCTGAAAGCGCTCTGGAACGCTCCGAGAGCGTTCTGGAACGCTCTGGAACGAACTTCCCTGAGAACCGACGTTGCACAAAAATGCAACATCGCAAAAATCACGACCTGAGCCCTGGACCCCATCTTTCTGCGTCATTTTTTGAAGCGGATCGATCTGGGAGGGTCCCAGGGCCCGAAATGCAGCGAAAACGCGGCCCAAGAGGCCCCGAAGCCGGCCCAGGAGGCCCCCGAGACGGCCTCAGGGAGGCCCAAGAGGGCCTCGTTCGAAATCATGTTCTCGGAAGCCTCTCCGGGAACATTACTTCCGGGCTCCCAGGGACCCCCCGCTGAGCCCCAGGACAGCCTCAGCGAGGCCCCAGAGGGCCCGAGATGGCTTGAAGATGGCCGAAGAGGGCCCCAAGAGGGCCTTCAAGAGGCACAAATCGGCCCATTTCCTTTATAAAACGTACATTTCAGCATACTCGCTGGCTTCGTCTTCACGGTGCCCCAGACGCTCCCGCGGAGCCCCAAGACAGCCCAAGAGAGACCCAAGAGGGCCCAAGACGGCCCAAAAGGGTCGGCTTGTGGGGCTCACGGAACCCCCCAACACGGCCCAAGAGGCCCCGAAACCGACGTAGGAGGCTGGCTCGAAAAAGTTGAGTCTCCAGGATCTCAAGGTTCTATCCTTGTCCCAGCCCCGCCAGACCTCGCCCCCCCCCCCTCTGACCCTGCTGCGGCCGGACCCGTCTGGAAGCCATGGCCAGGTCGCACCCCAGGGCGGGCCACGAGGACGGCGTGGGCCGCTGCCCTGGCCCCGTCCGAGCTGAGCCGCCCTCGCCATCCCGACCCCTCTTTCTTAAAGGGGGCCAGGGACGCATATACATATCCATATATATATATATATATATATATATATATATATATATATGTATGTATGTATGTATGTATGTATGTACGTACGTACGTACGTACGTACGTACGTACGTACGTACGTACGTACATACATACGTATGTATTTATGCATGCATGCATGCATGCATGCATGCATGCATGTCTGTCTGTCTGTCTGTCTGTCTGTCTGTCTGTCTGTCTGTCTGTCTGTATGTATGTATGTATGTATGTATGTATGTATGTATGTATGTATGTATGTATATATGAATATACATATGTGTATGTATGTATGTATATATATACACAAATCCAAAGAAACTCCAAATGTGTACATATGTTCTGGGTTTACGTCTCCCCCCCCACTTCCCATCTTTCCCGTATTCCCCTGGGAGCCGGCGATTCATCGTGTCTGCGTGCTTTTGTTCCCCTCCCGACTGCCCTCGCCGCCTCGAGCCCCCGACCCCCCCGGGCCTCTCCTGAGCTCGAGGCGGCCTCCTCTCCGCGGCGGCGGTGCGGCCCGGCAGGCCCACGGAGGCAGGGGCGCAGGCCCCGGCTGGAGGGGGAGGGGACGGGGGCCCCGACCACGACTGGGCGCGCAGGTGCCGCGTCGACCCCGGGCACCGCCGGTCTCGGCCAGCGCCACTTCGTGGATCGTCTTCGCGAATCGGCGACGGCCGGCGTGGACCAGGACCAAGGTCGGCAGCAACAGCATCCCGCGACATCTCGGTCGTGGTCCCCGTGCTTCTTCCCTCGACTGGTCTCAGACACCCTGCCCCGAATCTTCCCCCATCCCTTCAGGGTCGCAGCCCCCAACTTGCTCGCCGCCAGAGGGCCCCGAATGTCCACGACGCCGTGACGCTTCACAACATGGCCTGGAGGGGAAGTCTCGACTCGACCACTTCCTTGGGCCGGCTCTTCATTCAGAGTCGTTTTCTGACGGTCCCAGGTCTCGGCAAGTATCTCCCAGCGGCTGAAAGTTGTCAACCGCCAGCCTCCCGTCGTCATATATGTATATACGACCCTCAGTGCATGGCTGAAGTGGGTTTCCGCGGTGCGGATTGTTGTTGATGTTGCTGCGGCTGCTGCCGCTGTCGTTGTCGTTGTCGTTGTCGTTGTCGTTGTCGTTGTTGTTGTTGTTGTTGTTGTTGTTGTTGTTGTTGTTGTGGAACTCTCGATCATTTCTGAAGAATGATTCTTGTTGATCCTCCTCACCGGTACATATTGTTTTTCTGTCAAAATGTGCCCCTCGACGCTCGTTCCCTGTTCTTTGAAAAAGAAAGTCTTGGTGCTCAAACTGTGCCC